ATTATGATAGTAGAAAAATGCAGACATTATTATCTGAACTTAAATACTTCAGTATCTTGCCTTTAACCTTCTTTTGCAAACCATTGAACCACAGACGAGTTTTTTCATTGAAAGTAATATGAAAGTCAGTGAAGTTGAATAGCTATCAAGAAGCCTGAATAATGATTTTAGTAACAGGGGTTAACAAAAACACGTCTGAATTCATGGATACCATGGATACCCGTGCTTCTTGCATGCTAACCGTGAGATCCCACATCAATTGAAGAGAGGAACGAGTGCCAGCATCTCGCTGGCCACGAAGGGGGTGAATTGTGAGATCCTACATCGGTTGGAGAGGGAACAAAGCATTCTTTATAAGGGTGTGAAAACCTCTTCCTAGCAGACGCGTTTTAAAAACTTTGAGGGAAACCCGAAAGGAATAGCCCAAAAAAGACAATATGTACTAGTGGTGGGCTTGGACCCGAAAGTTAGAACTTCATCTTTATATTTAAAAAGATATGAATAGATTCACAGACTATTCTAAAAAGAATTTACCATTAATTTCAACCAGCTCATCTCCTTCATGTATGCCAGCTCGTGCAGCAGGGCTACCATCTATCATGGATAAAACAATCTGCAATGTCAATGAATACAGGCAGGACCAAGAGGGAAAACGTTTAGTAAATTGGTGATTGGATAACAAATGCTGTCTTTTTTCCTTGTTATGTGGAGTGCTTCTCACACCACCATCCGTGAGATCTCACATTGATTGGTTGGAGAGGAGAATGAAGCATTCTTTATAAAGATGTGAAAACCTCTCCCACGTTTTAAAACCTTGAGGGAAAGCCCAAAAGGAAAAGTCCAAAGAGGACAATATCTGCTAGCGATGAGCTTTGGCTGTTACAAAATAGTAATAGAGCCAAACATCGGGTGGTATGCTAGTGAGGATGATGGGCCCCCAAGGGAATGGATTGTGAAATCTTACCTTAGTTGAAGAGGGGAACGAAACATTCCTTATAAGGATGTGAGAACTTCTCCCTAGCAGAAGCATTGTAAAACTTTGAGGGAAAACCCAGAAGGAAAAGTCTAAAGTGGACGATATCTGCTAGCGATAGATGAAATTTGAAGAAAGCAAGAAACATTAGATTAGATTACGAAGAATGTTTCGTACCAAATGGCCGGTTGTCGGTTCGATGTTTATGAACAGACCTACTCCCTGCAAGTTGCCATCGCTGCCTATTCGAAAACTTTGATACTCCTGACATACAAACCATCAGATAAATAGATAAATAGGTAAGTTCTTTTGAAGATAAAGCCAAACAAGAAAGTTTTCCAACTCAAAATAGCATACAAACACCTTTGGGTTTATTATACGAGTAAATGGATCTCCAAGTGTAGACAGCATTGCACTGACTTTCTTATATGCTGCATCACCTGATTTCAAAGGAAACATTTCCACCATGGTTTGCTGTAATTTCAGGTCCCAATCTGCAAAAGTGGAACAATTCTGTGTTAGAGTTAGATAATTTTTTCATGGCTCATTTCACAAATATTTAATATCTAGTTAAGAATCACAATCCTCCCCAATGATATGATATTGTCCACTTTGAGTATAAGCTCTCGTCGCTTTGCTTTTGGTTTTTCCAAAAGGCTTCATACCAATGAAGATGTATTCCATACTTATAAACTCATGATTGTCTCCTTAATTAGCTGATGTGGGACTCCCCACCAACAATACTCCCCTCGAACAAAGTATACCATAGAGCCTCCTCTTAGACTTATAGAGCCCTCGAACAACCTCCCCTTAATCGGACTTGACTCCTTCTCTAGAGCCCTCGAACAAAATACATCCTTTGTTCGATACTTGAGTCACTTTTGACTAACATCTTCTAGGCTCTCAACTTCTTTATTCAACATTTGAAGATTCTATTGACAAGACTAAATTAGGAATCACGAACCTTGATGATTAAAAGTTGGGTCTACAAATGTTTCTCTGATCAATCCCCACGCCTCAATCAGAGTTCTTTGAACTGTATTCACCTAAAAAAAGATGACCAATTAGCAAAATCCATTCGATCACAAATGGGAAAAGCCAAAAGAAAGTTTCAAAACAATGAAACGTAGAAGAAAATCAATTCATTGCTCTGATCATAACTACATATGGAGTAAATTAAGGCAACAATCAAAGAAGAAACGTGAAGAAATGTCACCTCAGGAGTGCGCGAAACTGGGAAAGCAACAGTAAGAGATTCAGCAAAAGCAGGGGAATCAAAGCAAACAGAGCTCAAAGCAGTGGCAGCAGCAGCAAAGCCGACAACCCATTTCCCAACAGACCCAACAAGTCTCTGCCGAGCAGATTCACTTCCCAACTCGCTCGCGGCGGAAACCACTCTCCATTTCCGGCTTCCACGACGGCCGGAGCTCGAGAACCGGCAGAAACTGATCTGAGACGAAATGGGTCTGGAGGGATCGAGTGAAAACGGAGAAATACGGGGTGGTTTCAGGTCGAGGCTCCGGATCAGAGCCTCCATGATTGGTGGGTGGGGTGTGAAGGTGAAGAAGGAAGTTTTGAAGGAGGAGCTCTGATACCAATTGTGGCTGAGGGTGCGGCCCCTTTGGAATCTTCGTGCTAATTCTTGTGGCTCTGAGGCTCGCTACGTTGCGTGAGACAGCAAGCAGCGTCTTGGCTTGATCTCGTGGCGCCATTCATTTGCCTGAAAGAGATTGATTTTTTTTTTCTTTGCATTGCGTGAACGACGACCGTTGCCGTCTGAAATTTGCTTCCCACTTATTTGGAAATGTTTTTTTTTTCTTTCTTTTTTTTAATCCATAGTTTATATATTTATTTGAAAAAAATGTTATATGTCTGATGGATATTTAAAAATATTCCGTAAGTGATTCCATTGTTGAAGTCAAGAAATACAATCACATGCACATACTTGAACGATCCTGCAATGTTGAGTTCAACATGGAAGAGTTGGAAAATAAACGATTTTTTGTAAAAGGGATATAGAACTTCATTGTTGACCATATAGGTCAGTCACATTTAAAGAATCAATTACTTTAGACTTCTAAGCAAAGTTGATATCAAGATTGAATAGTCAATGAATTCGGTTCATATTGTGCATCACTTTTTCATATATTTAAAGCCATGAACATGCATTTTCATGTATAACAACATCATCATTAGCTACTTATTTCCGTTCTCATCATATAGCATTCAATGACTTAATGTTTTACAACAATCTTGTAACATTCCGAATAACAAAAAACACCAAGCCTAGCTCATCGTCCAACAAATAATAAGCCACTTACCTTAGCTCTGAAAATAATTAGTAGCTACTTTATTTTTTGTTGCCTTTAAACTTTAATTAGTAAGACCCTATTTTTCAAAATCGTAGACTGGTCCAGACTCTTTAACAAATGCACGCTTACGACATTTAAAGCGAAAAAAATATGAAACATCGTCTTGAGAAATGTTAAATATTTATGAATTTTGATCCATCTTTTAAGAAAAGAAAAAAAAAACATGTCCCAAAATTTTTCTCCCGAGCATTTTTTCCGTCATTTTTAAAGGGGTACCATTGGTTAGTTTTCGTCGTTTCTCAAAGGGGCACCATTGCCAAGTTCAAAAAAGTCCTTTTCGCGTTCTAATTTCCTAGTTTACTTTATCGAGATCGAACTAGACCTATAATTCTAACCATTTAAAATCTTTAGCCCTAAATATAAGATCTTAATGCCCACAAAATAGTAAGAAACCCTAAAAACATGTAATAGAATTATAGGTCTCGGCTAATACTTCTTTCGTCTTTCTTTTCTGTACGTTAGGGTTGTTCGGGCGAAAAACCAAATTGCAACTAGGTGAAACTTAATCCTTCGGACCTTTCTTCTTTCTTTTCAGCACGTTATTATATATATAATTAATTAATTATATACTATAATTTCAATATTCATAGCTTTATGAACTAAAAAAATATATTTATAATGGGATTAAATTTGAGTAATTCGGGTTGAGGGCATATATTATTGAAAAGAATTTTAAAAATTCAATAAAATATTTTAATGCTTTTATTTTTTTTTCTTTATATATTTTATTTAAAATATCATTATTTGGGTCAAAATTCAAATATAGTCAGAAAATAAGGAATATAGTCAAGGATATAATGAAACTCTCATCATTAGGATAAAAAGGCCAATAACTGTATTTTTTATTAACCCTATGTTACATAGTCCATAGAAAAAGGTACTCCATGCATATTTATCTTATATTACTAAAGGGTGCCTACAAATTTAAAATTTAAAATATTACAAATTCAACTCGGTTGGTGGGTTGACATTTTTTTTGGTCGGGTCAACCCAACCAACTCGAAAATAGAGTTGAAATCTATCTCTACTTTACCATTTTTTTTTAGATTATTATGAAAATTAAAAATATTTGACATTTCTAACTGATGTTAGTGATACGCTGTGACTTGTGAATGTTTGATATTTGAATTTTATAAGATTTTAGTCATTAATGTTACATGTAGGGTGGATACATAGGATTTTTTTAAATAATAAGACAACCCAATAACCGAACTCAACCCAATTCGAAAATAGAGGATCAGATTATTTAGATCACCAATCCAACCCATCTCAAATAGAGTTACTTCAAAAGATTTCTCCAACCCAACCCAACTCAAAAATAGAGTGTTGGATTGGGTTGGGTTGTGAACCCTATTCGGTTCGTTTGGGTCCACCAGTCCAACCAGCTCGAAAATATCGAATTCGTCTAAAAAATTTCTCCAACCTAACTAGTGATGAGAATTTTGAATTATTGAGATTATAATTTTACATTCTTTTTTTTGGGATGATTCTTGAATTATGATGACCATTTATAACGAATATTAAAGGGTAAGATTAGACCATTGCCCTATGAAAATAAGTAGAGTTGCAAGTAAGTTAGCTTATTTTTTTTTATTAAAAAAAAAAACATAAAAACAAAAGCTAACCCAATTAGTACTCCCTTTTGGTGTGTTTTGGTGTGTTGTATGCGTGTTAATGTGTATGGTTCATTCTCTCTCCTCCAAAACTTCAACCAACCATTTTCTCTCTCTTCAATTCCCATTTCCATGGCTGACCCATATTCCAATTCATTAGCTAGTGTTCTAAAATTCAGCTCCCACCATCACCATTTCCCACAATCACAACCTTCTCCATCTCCCTCACACCTCACTATGTCTCTCAATTGCCTTTCATATCCCTACCCGGATTTGGGATCGGGTTCGGGTTCAGGTTCAGGTTCGCCTCCGCCTTCGTCGCCACCGCTCCGCGAGGCTCTACCGCTTCTCGGGTTGATATCTCCCCCCGAGCAACGGCAGGAGCAAGAGGAAGAAGACGATGGCGGAGACAACGAGGGCAACGACGAGTCGGTGACCGTGGCACTCCACATAGGGCTACCTAGCCCTAGCACAGCGGAGATGGCTTCATCTGAGATTGATCACAGTAATAATAATGATAATCTTGATGATTTTGGGCAGTCCACCAAAACCCTAATAAAGGGGCAGTACTGGATCCCTACTCCTACTCAAATCCTCATTGGTCCTACACAATTCTCTTGCCCTGTTTGCTTCAAAACCTTCAATAGATACAACAATATGCAGGTAAATTCATTCATAAGTTCATCAGTTTCATCAAAAAATCATGTAAAGATTGAATTTTTCTTGATGGGTTTTTAGATTCTTAAGAAAATTTTCGGTTTTGAACATGAATTTGATCTGATCTTGTGAGAATTTAGGTGTTATTTAGTGTTTATTAAGTTAAAAAAATGTGTTCTATTCTTTCAAGGTGATGACTTTGTTGCCTGATATGAATCTTCACTTTAGATATCCTTTTGTATTATTATAATCCAAATTTGATAGCAATTTCTTTGCATGGTCATATGATTTTGAATGTTTCTCTCTCTACATTTCTCTCTCCATCACTGTCTTTTTTGTTTCTGATACAAACTGAGTGAAATGAATATCACTGACTATGTTCCTTCTGTCTTTTAAATCAGTTCATTGGAATCTGTGTTTTAAACTCTCCAACTGTTGTTTTTTTTTTTGTGAATCCTATGAATATTTGTATGTTTTTTTTTTGTTATGAAATTATCTCCTCTACTTTCTAGTTTTTTGGACACAAAGTGGGGTTTTTTCATTGAAAATTCATCCCAAATATGGAAATTTCAAAAGATTTGCATTTTGTTGAGTAATTTTTGGTAGGGTTTTTAGCTAATAAGCTTAACTGGTTCATGATTTAGTTTATGGAGCATTTTTAAGAGAAGAATGGTTACGATTTATTCATAAAAGTACCCAAAAACCCTTTTCTCAAGTTATCGTATTATTTATTTTATTTCTTTCTGCTTCGATTTGATACTGTGTTTATAAGAATAGTATAAAAATTAGTAATTTCTCATAGCTAAAAATCTTGATTTGTTCGTGATTTATTTTTGCACAATATATAGATAATTTCTAGAAGAAGATTAAAAAAAAAACCATTTTCTCAAGTTATTTGGTTGATTATTTTGTTTCTTTCTGTTTCAATTATCCGTTTGGGTGTGGTTTGATCGATCCAGAGTCACAACCAATAATTTCATATTATTTTTCAAGCATAGAAAGAAACCCAAAGAAGAAATCATGATCGAATAGGTTTTCGTATGTTCATCGGTTTCGAGAGGAAAAAAATTAGATTTTGAAACCAAGAACATTACCCAAATGAAAAATTACATTTTTTTTTTGTTTGTATAAAGTTTGAGCTGTTTTTGTTGAATAATCTCACACTAATTTGTTGTTTTTATGTGCATTTTGCAGATGCACATGTGGGGGCACGGCTCTCAGTACAGAAAAGGCCCAGAATCCCTGCGAGGCACGCAGCCAACGGGCATGCTAAGGCTGCCTTGCTACTGCTGCGCGCCAGGGTGCCGCAATAACATCGACCACCCTCGAGCCAAGCCACTCAAAGACTTTAGAACTCTCCAAACACATTACAAGCGCAAGCATGGGCTCAAGCCATTCACGTGCCGCAAATGCGGTAAGGCGTTCGCCGTGCGAGGGGACTGGCGAACTCATGAGAAGAATTGTGGAAAGTTTTGGTATTGCATTTGTGGCTCGGATTTCAAGCACAAGCGCTCGCTCAAGGACCATGTCAAGGCCTTCGGTAACGACCATGCCGCCTACGGTGTTGGCAGGGTCGACGGTTTCGGAGACGAGGAGGAGGACGACCCCGCTTCGGAAGTCGAGCAGGATAATAACGAGTGAAAGGATCGACACGGAGTTGTTATAGTTATATATAATGAAACTTACTTACAAATGTTATTACATTATATGTGTAATTAATTAGGGAAGCTTTGTTGTTGGTTGGTTCTGATGTTATAAATCATGTTTGTTTTGATCCCAAATGGATCAAAATATTGAAATGAAAAAAGAAAATTTGAAGTATATAAATTAAAATATTTTCATTTTCAGATGATTCAAACATGGATACACTGTTGTGATCTTCAGGATATTTTAAGGTTTATGTCTGTGTCTGTGTTTTTTACAGAAATTGTGTAATTACTTCACTAAATAGTTGCAGTAATTTAGAGTTAATAACCAAATCAAGGTTAATTTTCTGAATATTTTACTTTAAACAAATAAATATTAGCATTAAAAAATAATATATACTATTTTTCCAAAAATTGATTTTTTTTTTAATTTTTAAAAGTTTACTTGAATTTTAAAAATTATATATTAAAACAAATATGGATGAAATTTAAAGTAATGTTTATAAGTTTAATTTTTTTAAAAAAATAAAAAATTTCTGTTAAATGAGATAATTTTAGAAATTAAAAATAGAAACCCTAAAAGAGATCGAACTCTGAGTAAATTTAATATGACAGTGTTAACGAAGAAAAGACGTTTTAATAGTTTTTTCTTAAGCGATAACTCACAGAGGCAAAGCTCAAAAGTGATGATTTCGATAAGTTTCCTTTTTTCATTACTATAGGTAAAGATTGAGGACTCAGATTAAGTTACTTTAAAAACATATAATATAAAACAAATCTAAAAGTCGGATCAATCCAATTCATCCTAGTCATTATGATTTAAAATATAAATTTAAAACGTGTCTAGTAGAAGAGTTTCTACACTTCTATAAGGAATGTTTCGTTCCCTTCTCCAACCGATGTGGGATCTCACAATCCACTTCCTTAGTGTCTAACTCTGATACCATTTGTAACAGCCCAAACCCATCACTAACTAGCAGATAATGTCCGTTTTTCCTGTTACATATATTTGTTAGCCTCACAGTTTTAAGACACGTCTACTAAAAGAGATTTCTAGACTTTGTAAGAAATACTTTATTCCCCTCTACAACAACAATCGAAACCGAAAATTTAGAATCAGAACAATTAGGTTGAGTCTAAAACACGTTTCAATCCAACTAAACTCAACCCCACGATTCGAACAATTAAACCAAATCTGAAAAACGTTTTAATCCGACTAAATTTAACCCACTTTTTCTTTTTTCTTTAGGTATGATTATTGTAAATTTTACATTTGTTGGGTCGGTTTAATGATGATGATAAGTGCATGCATAAGAAAACAATATTGTATTCAAATCAAACTGTTTTGTACACTCTACGAGGTGTATAAAGGGGGAGAGATTTGCAGTGTGGGAATGGACTTTAAAGCTTTGTTTTATTTGTTTAAAAAGAGAGAAAGAAATGGGGAATGGGGGAAATTATGTCAGTTTCAGTCTTTCAAAGCCACTGAAACAGCCACACTTAAGTGTGTGTGTGGAACCCATCTGCCACTGCCCCTCCCTCCCAAGTTGCTGTCTTTGTTGCCTTAAATTGTGGCATTTTAATTAACTCTATACCCCTCAATTATCGCTACTTCACCCTCTATTCTCGATACATCTTTTCCATTCTTTTTAGGGTTTCTTCTCTTTCCTCTATGCAAATTATTCGATGGATAGACGATAAAATTTAAAAGTCGGGTTTTGAAGATGTGGGTTGAATAGTTATTAGAGGTAGCTGCATTAACACATTTTCATTAACTGTATACTCGTTAATTCTCACTACTTCACCATTTATCATCGATACATCTTTTATGTTCTTTTTAGGGTTTTTTCTCTCTCCTCTATTTAGATTATTCGATGGATGGACGAGAGAATTTAAACGTCGGGTTTTGAAGATGTACGATTAGAAGACGGATAGGTTTTGAACCAGGATTGAATAGTTATTAGAGGTAGTCACTTTAACGCATTTCCATTAAGTGTATACTCAGTTAATTCTCATTACTGTCACCATCTATCATCGATACATCTTTTCCATTCTTTTTAGGGTTCCTTCTCTCTCCTCTATACAAATTATTTGAGGGACGGATGATAAAATTTTAAAGTCGGGTTTTGAACCTAGGTTGAATAGTTATTAGAGGTAGCTGCGTTAACACATTTTTATTAAGTGTAAACTCGTCAAATCTCACTCGTTCACCCTTTTTCTATCGACACGTCCTTTCCATTCTTTTTTCCTCTGTTTCCTCTTTTCTATTTGCATGTGAGGATTTATCTTCTCACCTTTACAAAAGTTGTTTAAGACATGAAAGAAATATGTATAGTTGGGTGATTTTAAATGGTTCGATATATGAGAGAATTGAAAAGTTGTACGATTAAGAGATATTATTTTAGACATGAATTGAACGACATTTTAACTAGTTCTATATAGCCATCAGTTCTCGCTTCTTTACCTTCTAAACTATTGATACATCAGTTCGATTCTTTTCTCTCTCTTTCCACTCCCACTTTTGATTCGCTTGTGAGAATCTATCATATCTCCTCTCGAGAACTTATTCGAAGGATGAAACAATACACAACTAGTGAGAAGTACGTTTAAAGAGTTGTATTTCAATAATAATAATAAAAAAAAAGAAGACAAGTTTGATTCATGGTATAACGTCTCACATCTAGAATTTAAATAAAAATTTAAAATATGAGTTCGATACCTGACGTTCTCGACATTTTCTTACGTCCCGCGACATGACCACGTTACCTACTTGTCACTTCTAAGAGTGAAAAATTATCCTCACGAATGAAAATTATGGATCGTTTTAGTATGTTTTGTCCTCCCTTACATAATTTCTAGAAAAAATTCTTTAGAACTTACCTAACATATAGTTGTTCTAAGCTAAACCTGCTTAATTTTGAAGTATTGGATCACTGAAAAGGAAAGTATATTTTATTGGTATAGACAGTGATTTTCAATGATGGTAAGTCTTTGTTAACCATTATATTCTTAGGATCACTCTCGTTCGAATGTGGTCTCAATTCATTTATGTACCTCTTATTTACTTCGAGTGACAATATGGAACCTAAAAACTTGTCTAAAGTGGACAAATAACTCATCTAAAAAACTTCACCGACTCACCCATCATGGTGTAGAAGCGGGTTTCGTGTGAGAGACCCGTCAAAAAAGACATGTTTGAAAGATGGAGAAAATAATAAATAAATAACCCTTAATAATATTTAACTAAATATATTATTAAAAATCGAGCAAATTAATAATAGGCATACATATTTAAAAGTATAAGGCAAAATGAGTATGTCAACACTCCATATACACTTTTATATGCTAGGCTTTTTTATTAAAAAAATAACAAGTGAAATAGACTTATGTTATTGCCAACGACCCTTCTAGCTATTCTTCCAATACGTCATTCGTAAAAAAAAAAAAAAAAAAAAATTAGAGAATGAATATTAAAACTCAGTAAGTAACTCGTTGTGAGTTAGATATGTATAACCACAACAAAAATGTAATGTAATAACGAGGGACCTAAAAATTGTTTAAAACTAGATTACGTGTCTGTGACTTACTCTAAATGTGTGATATCTATCTAAATTCTAAATGGGTCGGACTCAGATCCTTTAGTATGTAAGTCCGTGAGTTATTACGAATAGCTTTTTTTTTAACCATATATGTTCTAGTTCTTCAAATTTTTCTTACAAGTCTCATTCTTTTATGTTATGAATTTCTACCCAATGTTGCCAGCGTCAAGATCACCATGCCCAACAATAGATGCAATTGAATATGATTCCAAAAGTGTCAACCACGAACATGACAAACCCAAAGAAATATTAGATACCACCTAGAAGTTCAAGCCCATGACCATCCACTTAGGTTTGCCATATCAAATCGTTTATGTAGATACATATTAGTGGGTGTATCGTATATAATGAGTTTATATAAAACTAAACTACTAAATACTTTGATCTCTCATTATAAATCCGTTAATTGAGAAAATTAATATTTCACATGATGATCATATGTCGACTCAATCTTAATTTTAAGTCACTTATGAACTTTTGCCTATAAGGGTTTGTTCTTTGACTTGAATCGGTGAAAATGACTTTGATTTGTAAGATGAAATTCGCTCATTCCCATATAAACAAAGTAGATGAATGGTTCTTTTTAGTCTTGATTTCAAGACTTGAAAATGGTGTCTTACCCTCTCACTGGCTCCAGATACACTTAGTTTATGGTTGAATCATGAACAAAATTTTCATTAGGGAATCAATTATCTTTAAGGTGAAAGATCTAATTGCAGGGTAAAACTAATTATTAACCCAACTCGAATAATTCGTAAATGATTGACTTGTCTATAATTATTATATCCATGAACACAACTTGGATTAATTGATTCGAGAATTAATTGATTACAATTTTTATGAGTTGCTTTCTTCGGCGTTCTAATCTCATAAATCAACAAAACTATAGTTAAAGGATAGTTGATTACGATGAACTATCTCTAACATCAATTGTTCAGGTTACTATGATGGAGCTACTAGAGGTCGTCAACTAATGTCTTGTAGTGAGGAGTCTATCATGATTAGCTTATCTACATATCTTAATTGGTTCAAGCACGGGTTGCTCTCCCATGTTTATTATTGTACATGTGTTTCTTCATGTTACAAGATTATTAAGATGTAACTATTTGATGGTCACCAACTAACCTCAAATAGCAAGAAGTCTCATATCTTAATTCGTTCAAGCACAAGGTCGTTCTTCTCATGTTTATGATGTTATCAGGTTACTATGATAGGGATACTAGAGGGTCATTAGCTAATCTCTAGTGACGATGATAGAAAAATCTTTATTCCACACGTTTTAGTATCGATTTTGATAGCTAAAAGATGGGTTTTTACAAACTCACCAAGTTTTCTCGAGTACATATTGGATCATTTATAAATAATTTAAAATTGTTATTAGATTAAAAAAAATTCTAAAATTTCAAATAAAACGTAAGACCTAAAAAATATAGGTATTTTTAAACTAAAAAAACATAAATTTAAATTTGAAAACAAACTGAAATTTAGAATTCCAAGACAACAACTAGTTTAAATTGTTCCTTGTTACAAAAATAGACCTATCAAACAAAATAAAGTTCTTTT